CTCTCCTCCCCCCCCATCTGTGAATAGGGGTGCGTGACGATTCAATCGTGGCAGTAAGTAGGTCGCCGCGCCAGCCGCCGCAGCCAGCGATATCGCGGCGAATTTGCAAAGAACTCAGCATCCAAACATTGGGGAATGTATGCTCGTGAAAGATGCTCATTGAAATTTACAGGTTGTAGGTTATGATCACTTGTTCAGCGAGAAGGCTCAACACTAGAGGATGCGCTGAGCGCCGAAGCGATCGACGAAGACGATGATGAGGAGGAAAGAGATCCAGAGGAAGTGGCGGTTAGGAAGACAACATGTTGCACTTTGTATTAGCATAATATTGCATCTAATTCAAATATCTGTATTGAAGGCGCGACATGATGTACTTCGACGGATCGGTTTAAAGACGAAACCCACAAATGCGTTACGAAGGTATTTGAAAAAAGTTGCTGCCGGGGTAAGTGGTTCTTCAATTTTGATAATTTTTTCTTTTATTTGAAGCTTATGTTCCGTAACATTAAAAGTACAGTCATCACACCTCGAATTTCGGTGTGGATTGAGCTATTATAAGTTGTCAAGGGCTTCAAAGGTAAGAGAGGAAGTGGCATTACTTATCGGCCAACCTAATACTACTACCTCTGCATAGTATATTCCTCAGTATCGCACTGTTCTCGCTCCACCCTTCCCAACTGAAAGCTCACGAGTTTGAAAGGAGTTGCTTTGAGATCCTAATTAATTATGTCTCATAGTTTGCCGCTAGTTTTGGGCTCCCCCACTTTCTTCACGATTTGGGGCGCGGCCGCGGCAAACCCGGCCGAGTATGCGCCATCAGCTTACCTGAGTATTCGACGTTACATTACGTATCGCAATGTAACGTCGAATACTCAGGCAAGCTGATGCCGTAATGTAACGTCGAATACTCAGGTAAGCTGATGGCGCATACTCGGCCGGGTTTGCCGCGGCCGCGCCCCAAATCGTGAAGAAAGTGGGGGAGCCTCTCCACTATTACAACCCCAAAATCTCAAATTTTAATTTTCGTCGAAACCTGCCTTAGGGGTTATTCGATGCCCTGATTACGAAAATGAATGTTCATTTTCGGCTATTTTCACCAAATTCGCTGTAAACTTGTGTATAGGGGTTATTTGGGGTCCTGATCACGAATATAACATTCATTTTTCCCGCTAGCGCCAGTGGCGCCTGTTTTCCGCTCGTCTGCGCCCTCTCACTGATCAGCTCGCGATCAGGACTAAGCCTTTGAGGAGGGGAGTGCTCCGAAGTGAATAACACTTATCCTGTGATCTTATACGCTTTAACATTTGCCACATGTTGACTGGTTCACCCACCCCGGAGTCCTCCCTCCTTCTAGGCTTAGTCCTAGGTATTATGTACAAGTGAGAGGACCCAGGAAAATGGAAAATGTGCGTTGAACGGTGGAAATGCTAAAAACGAATGACATATCCGTAATCAGGACCCTAAATAACCCCTGTATACAAGTTTACAGCGAATTTGGTGAAAATAGCCCTGGCGGCGCCAAATGGCGCCAACGCCAAAAATGAATGTCATTTTCGTAATCAGGGCATCGAATTACCCCTATAGGCGAAGTTTCGACGAAAAATAAAATTTTGAGATTTTGGGGTTGTAATAGTTGAATAGTGCCAAACTTTGTCTAACTGTAAAATATAGTTTGAGAAATTGGTTTTCACAGCGTGGTCTGCTCCGGAGAATTCCTCTTTATCATCCAGATGTTGCCTGAACTGGGTGCGATCATATTTTCAGGCTGAACTAAACCCATGGGTTCCTACAGTCTACACTGAGAAGGATCTCAGAAAGAAAGTACGTCTACTTGTTATCGCAATGATGGCTAAAGCATGTGAAAGCGAAGGAGTGGAAGAGTGTAGTGGGTTTTATTTAACAATCTCTGTCCTGATACTGTTGGCAAAAATTAATTTCAAACACCTAGTTCAGGCATTGATAAATCACACGAAGCTGCTATCAGATTCATTGATCGTCTGAATGAAGAGATTGTTGAATCGTTGAGTATTCTTGGTAATTTCTCGTCCGACCTCATTCGATGCGCAAGAAGCAATTGTCAAAAGGTCAGTTTTCCCTTGCTTTGTTGTTACAATTACAGCTTGTTTTGCTGTAATTTGACCACAGGGCTTTATCGCAAACAGTTATACGAGCATTGCGTTTACTTTCTCTACATATGGCCTTCAAAGATGACAATAAACGGGCACCCTTTAGCTGGGAAAGTGCTACGTCTTGACGATTAACGGCCTAGCCGTCCTTATAGTAGACAATTCTGCCCCATCAAACTTGCCGTATCTCCTGCTGCAACATCGGATTGATAAATTACATAGACAGATCCGGTTTAGGCGTTTCTTCCGAATCATGTGGCTAACACACTGGTTTCGAGGCTAGAAGTCAATTACACACGTTGTCAGGTGAGCATTTCGCTTCGTTTCATGATAACTGCGTTCTTGGAAGCTCGGGATTTATGATAGTATGTGTTGCTTTCATGAAATATTTTGGTACCAGACTGTCCGCATACACTTGGAACCCATGATGATGTCAATTACCTCATTTTGGAAGGTGGAAACTACAGTCAAAAGCTTGAAATGCCGAATTCTGTGGGAGCACCAAGCAAGGTATGGAGCGGTCAGATTTGATCAGAATTTAAGGATGAATGAAATTATGGCTTGAAATACCGTAGAAGACGTAATCCGTTAGAGCCACTTCCGTTCATCACCACCGAAGAATCTTCACTTGTTGAGGGGTCGCGGCAATGATAACGCTATTTTATTAAGGGTTTCTGGACGTAATTTATTTTAGTGTCCCAGCTGTCGTTGGAGATCGGGTTTCATTGTTTTTTGGATATTTTCAGCTCTTGTGCTTATGCTACTTCCATAATGGAATTTTCGAGTTCATGTTTGATATCATCCATATGAAGTGGAACATCTACCACAACTGTTTAGTTCACGTATGTTTTGCCCAGTTCACTTGCTTTTGATTTTTACCTACGTTCATTAATTTTGAGCTGATGGGAATACTTATGTTTTCTGGCGATGTGATGAGTATATGAAGTGCCCCGAGTGCACTTCAACTTCTTTTTTTGCTCCTCTTTAATTTCGTTGGTTGTCATATGTCAGATTACTGGAGTTGAGGCTATGTGCATCGTCAGATTTTGTCATAGACGGATTCCCTATGTACATCGTTTTCACATAGATCTTGACTTCTCGTCAAGCCAATATGTAGGGCACACTTTCACAGCAGCGAAAGTCTTCGATCTTCCAGGAACATTTGTACCAATGATCGATTGCAAAATTTCAAACTGGTTCTTGAGACATCCGCGCTGAAAGTCGCCTTAGTCGGTGCTTGCATGGATTTATCCGTTTTGACATCTCGTAAATTTGTACAAACATTTCCTTTTTTAGGGGCACTTTAGCGAAAGTAATCACGTACGCTATCAGCTTGTTTCATTGAACCAATTTTCTAGGTCAAAGAGGTGCTGAAAAATAAAAAGTTCGAAGTCAGTGACGAAGTTATTGAAGAGCTTCCATCAGATGTGATTAGGGTAAGGCTTCTTTTTTTTATGAATGGAAATATGGCAATCGAAGAAGGGATCATTTAGAGCTTGGTTCATTTCTACATGGCTCGGTGTTTGTGGGTATTTGGTGACAAAGAACTGTGGAGCAAGAATGGTTGTACTCTTTTCCAAGTTTTGTTCGGCATGGACGGACAAGTAGCTTAACTGACGCTGAATCTCAGCATTTCTGCTTTTGTAAGCACATTTGGAGGAGAGCCGTCACTGCTAAGCGTGAGTTCCACGAATGAGACACAAAGTTTTTAGTTTTTTTTGTTGTATTTCTTTTCGTATTGTATTAGCTTAGACAACTGCGTGCTTCTCTGATCTCATCAGGTTTAATGATTATATGTTCCATTTTATGTGAAAGAGCCTTCTGACTGCTCAGTGCAGATTTTGAAGGAAGTACACATTAACCTTTGTTAGTGATGCTCGCTCATTATACTTATTCATTCGTGCTGTACACCGTTTATTCTGATTGTTCAACAATCACTAGGAGCTCACATGCGTGCGATATAGGTTTTTTCATGATCCCGGTGAGCTTCTTTATTGTCTGAAGCTGTTCTGAGTTTTGTTTGAAGTCATCTTTTACCAAAGCTTCACCTTCCCAACATTTTCAAATATTATGTGCCAATCTCGGCTCAAACAAATTTCCGCATTCGTGATAAAACCATTACAATTTACTCTTCAGTGCCTACACTGCGTGGATTTACCCTTTCCACTTGCTGGAACTTCTAGAGTTTCAGAGGCGATGAACTTGGCAAAGGTCGTTTCACCGTCATGTTAGGTTTCGTAGCTTTTTCTTGAAGAGGTCATCCGGACGAAAAAAAGTGGCAGTGAATGGTATGTGAGTGGTGAGTAAAGGGGCGGAAGTGGTGTAGTGGCAAGTGGCACGCTTACCACGCGAGCGGTCCGGGGATCAAATCCTGGGTCGTGAGTCGCCCGGGCCAACCAAGCCTTCCATCCCTCCGGGGTCGGTTAATTGGTACCAGACTTGTCTGGGAAAAAAACACTGACTTGTACATCGGCTGGCCCCCGCAAGTCATTGTATAGGCCACATCGCATTCAAACGCCACTACGAATGTACAAATGGAAGTAGAATGCGTGCCGCATCCCAAAAAGGGATTGATCAACGGCAAATGCTTTATCCTTATCCTTTTTATAGTGAGTACGTCGGCCGTAGCATAGTTTAATACCCAAATCAGTTCATTGTTCACAGGGTCTGTTCTGCTATCGACACCTGAAGTGACTGCAGAGAAAGGTCGGCCCATTTGCAGCGCCCATTACTGGGCGGCAGTGTCCAATCTTGCGGAGTATTTTGACACCTTGCCAAGAATTCTGTAGCACTATGATAGTTCCCCTTAAGACCAGAGTGCTGCTCGCGCCGCAAACAGCGTAACAGGCAACACAACCTTCTCCTTGTGCAGTTTTATCTTTGCAAATTCACCGTAACCGTGATCGAACTACACCGCCGAGGTTCATAAGTTGCTGCGAAAATCTGCTCTACATCGCATGTCACAATCCAAAAGAATACAGGTCCTTTACATTGGAAAAAGAAGGTAGAAAAAGTGAAGACGGCTCTGTAACCGCATTTGCTTGCAGCATTCCTTTACAACTTTTGAGCTTTCTCTTTATGACCTAAAACCACAATCGGTTATGTCATTCGCGTTCTTCTTTACAGTTTTAAGCATATTTGTTTCTCTCATATCTTTCTCTCATACCTAATTGTTACCTACGCTCGATATCCAACGACCACTCTAGATACCTCCCGCCAATCCCAAAGCAGGCTTTTTGAACTATCGATACACAACACACTTTTCGTTCGTCAATGCATGGTCAAACGATCAATTTACATCACGAGCTGGTTCCGCTCTTTTCGGCTCTAATTGGAGTTAGGTGGAACCTATGCGGATTGCTCGTTGAGCATGTTTTAAAGGTTCGAAAAACTGGGAGTAATCGTTCCAGAGCAAAGCTGGTAGCATCTATGGATAGCACAACACGCGCTCATGCAAAATGGTGATCTGCCAGAATTTAATCGGGTTCTGTGCATTGAAACGTAGGCTGCCAACGCCTTTACAATCCAATACTTCAGGCGGTGCAGGGATTTCTTGCATTTTTAGATCACTTTTAAATTGTTGTCTAACTTTGTTGACACCTTGACCACCGCTGGTTTTGGCTTTTTCGTCGTGTGGAATATAGGCGATTTAGCAGGCGCGATTTGCCTGACGTGCACGCGCGTCAGCTTTTCTTATAAAGTGCGTTTTTCGGAAATCTTAAGTGACAGGCCAAGGGTACAACGCCTATTGAGAGAAGAAGTTCGAATAATAAGCATGGAAAGTTGGAATGTGCAAATTCACAACTATTTCTTCGGATAAGTGACTTCATGCTGGAATTGTCGAATCATTGCTGAATGTTGAGCGTGAATAACTTCAAGTCAACTGCTCCCTGCGCGACATTTATTTAAGGAAGTAGGTGAAGGTTCAAAAATAGTCAAAGAAATGGTGTTCAAGATGCTACACAAATGTTCCTTAACAACAAGGATGCGGTAACTCAAAACTCAAAAAGATTAACCAAATTATTGCGCTGCGGTAAATGTAGGAAGATTTTTGTATCCATTTCCCCAATTAAAAATACAAACATTCAAACATGCCATCCATCATCGTAACTTCTCAAAGGCAGCGATTACGATAGATCTCAAAGGGGTTTAGAGGGGACGTGAGGGTCTCAATAGTACGCCAATGGCGAAAAAAGCAAAGAAATCCGTCAAAAATAAGCAAAATAGTACCCCTTTGATTGCCCTTTCATTTTCGATAAAGAATGACGTTGTTTGGATGGTTTAACACGGTATGCCAACAAGCCCCATCCCCCCTATACCAACAAGCATAGTGTTTTGATTGATAAGGCATTACATGGGCAAGTTGGAAGATACAGCCGATAAAAGGGAAACGATCTCCCAAAATGAAAAGCCAACAGCAGACAGCTCGCCCAAGTCATCAACTGAACAAGTGGGCGTAACGCTGCTGGAGGCGGAGTGCTGCGGAGGTCCTGCTCAGCAACCACAGCACCTTTCGCCGTGGAAGCGCCACACATCGCTTCCTTGGCAGCCAAGTAATTGCTCCGTGTGGCGCAGGTTCTCCCCGATGCGAAAATTCCTTATCGTAATCGCTTCCTTATCATCATTGTATGCTGTTGTTTGCATCAATATTTTGTTCATATTTGCTTGATTACTTCAAAATTAGAGCCTAAGGTTGAACTATACTGAAAATTTGGTGAGGTTCAGAGAACCTAAGCTTAACTGAAGCATACCTTACCCATCCACAGACGATGCCGTTTACAGTTATTGTAATGTATTGTCTATAGAATAATTACACAAAAAAATTTCGGACGAAGTCAGACATGCGGAAACAATGGCCTAAGATGCTGACGCGCATTTTCGTCAACGCGACAAGATGCTGACAACTCATATCTATTTTTGATAGCTTTTTTTCAAGCGTGATCAGTTTTGTTCTGATGCAGTTCTCATGTATCGCTTGCTGCCTCGCTGATCACTTAGTCTTCAAACGGGCGCCAGCAACATCTCCATGTTCCTGTCGAGCGTTGGAGTACACCAGTGGGTTCTTCTTGCGCTGGGGATACAATTCGTTTTTCCTGGCAGAGCTTTCATGGAGCAGTCTTACTATCTGGCAACAGTAGGTGTGTTGCTCGTTTGATGTCTCCGGGTGTTGCAGATGTGCCGATCGCCCTGGACCATTCGCGCTCAGTTGCCTATGAGCAATAGCCGCTCATTCGCCCATTGCGTCTGGATGCGCCCCTGCGGTAGGTACCAGCCGCTGTTTGCTAACTATCCCCCTGGGAAGCAGACGGCGGCCACGCAGTTTGAGCTGCCAGGTGAGTTATAGATTGGTGCGTGTCGCAGGTTCGCGATTATGGTTTCAGGTACACCGCTGTGCTCACAGACAGATCGCGCTGCACGCACCGACTATAGGGGCATGCTCCGCCTCCGGTCCCGCCTCCAGCTAGGACTACTTAAAGCAACGGTCCCAGAAAGAATTCGCGGTGTAAAACCGTTGATAATGGAGTTGTAGGTGAAAAATTAACCGATAGTTAAGAAAAAAACGTCGAACAAGGCTTCTAAAATGGCCAATGAACTCTACAATGGCCAAAGTAGGTGGTTCAGTTTTTCTTCTGCTGTCAGTAGAATAAATAATAGACCCCGTAGACCTGCTGTCGAGTAACCTGCCACGTAAAAAAAGGTAATGAGGAAAGTACCGTGTTCGAATAGAAAAAGCTCCAAAAGCTTAAACTCACGAAATTTATATACCTCTCGAATACCTTCGTACAATCGTCCAAAATGTAGTACACCAGATATGTATACAGAACCAGCACCGACGGGAGTCAGGTGAAATCTCATATGAGGGCAAACCTTCCAGTGATAACTCCCACCGTTGCGCAGACGGTCTCACCGATGACCGCTCAGACGGAGGCGAAAAGCACCAAGCAACCGGACTGACGCCGTCGAGCTTCTCACGAGGCGGGAGCATGTGTTATGGTAAAGATAGTATGCCGCGGCATGAGGGGCTCGACGACGTCCTACAAGACTGTATGTAAAAGCTCAGGCTAAGCAAGGCATGAGAAGAATGCACAAAAATGAGAGAGTAGGATAGAACAAGAATTATGAGAGCAAATGCGGAATAAATGAACTACAGTACCAGTGACAAATGAGCTAAGTAAAGAGAGTAAAGAATTGCGTATCTTCGCGATAGCTTTAGACAAGGACTGCCGCTCTGGTTTCAGTAGGGGGACCCTTGTCGCCCACTCCGATGCCGCATCCGCCCATCCGATGCCATTCTTCGCCCTTTCTACCGGCTTCCCAAGGTGAGCTTTTGTTCATTTCCACTTCATATGTGTTTAAATAGGGCTGGTCCTTCTCCCCACAGAAGCATCGAATGTTTAGAACCTTACTGAGACTGTTGCTTCAAACGAGCCGCCTCTGACAGTCGGCGCGCTCCGCCTCCTCCGGGGAGCTGTCGCGCCGGGCGACGCGAGGGAGCCGGACTGCTCGGAGTGCCTCCGCCACTCGGCAGCATGCCCACTGTACCCGATAGACGCTGCCGCCTGCAAGCGCCAGCACTGCGCTACTTACTGCCGACGACACGGATGGGGTGGAC